CTGCCCGTCATCACGCTCACCATCATGCTGTTTTTATTTTCATAGTACTTGATTTTGATACCAGTCGATACAGCCCAACTCCCCCTTTTTCTTCCAAAACAGCCGTGGAGGATGGTAGGTAAATAGGCCTTGAAAAATGGAAAATGCGGCGCTATCGCAAGATGGCACCTTTCAGGACTGAGCTTAGGAGGCGCAGGAGCTCAAAGGAAAATGAAAATCCCAAGAATGAGCTTGGGAGGCGCAGGAGCTCTGAGGAAAATGAAAATTGTCCACGTACCCTTTTTGTTTTAACAAAAGGCAGTGTCAACTGCAGTGCGAATACAATGCCCCCGGACAGGGTCAACCCTACGTTGCTACAAGTAACAACGGGGGGTCGTAGTTTGTTGAAGTTTGTGGTGGGGGGTCGTACTTGTTTCGGTAGCGCGAAATTACATGTGATGAGGTGAGAGCGCGCGGGAGCTTCCCCCTCCGCTCGACGGTGTTTTTTGAGGGAAAAGTGGCTGTGAAGAGGGGGTCGTATGAAACTTCTCGTGAAGGAGGGGGGTCGTAAAAATTTTGCAAAAAGTGCCAACGATAGGACCGATCCTGCCCCCGGATCTTGCGATAGCGCCAAAAATCCTCTAATTTTATCTTTTTCTTGATTCTTCCGTAATTTCGCCGAAATCATCAGAAAACCCGTCAAACCCGCCCCCTCGATCGACTTCCGAAAATACCCACCCCTCCTTTCTCCAACTTTGTCTATCACCAGCTTCAAATACGATCTCCCTCCAAAATCCCAAATACAACCCATCATTCCCGTTGAAACTGCGCAACGAACGCTTGACACTGCGTCGAGGATTCTTCCACAGTGAGACGTAGTATATGGCTCTCTGGAGGAAGCGGCCAAATTGGGTGGTGGACCCCATGCAGATTGGGGTCTTCTAGCTCACTGATGGCTTCTCACCTTGCTCTGGGGATCCCTTTACACGTCCATGTTTGTAGGGATTGTAAGCGAAGAACGAATTCTCCCTGATAGATCACGAACTTTGCGACAAAAACGCCATTGAAAAATCGCATTTTGTGATCCGCGAATCTGGAAAAGGGGCGTGTCCAATTTCTATCCTGGCAAGATAGGGTTTGAACGTAGCTAATGTGGATTACTTCTCTCTAAGCTGTTCTTGAAAGTGACTGAATTGAAATTTTGTAGTTTTCTAGTAGTTTCCAGTAATGCAATGATCAGCCTAATGAATTGTGGGCCAGATGCACGATGCCTGTGGGTGTTAGCTTTCCAGAGGGTTCAGTTAGTTGTCA